GACGTGAGAGAAGAACGGTGGTGGTGATAGTCCGCTTGATACCTCTGATTGGTATTAGCAGGGTCCTTGGCCAACACGGGTGTCAGTGTGAGTGTCAGTGTGAGTGTGAGGGGGTTGTGTGTGGTGTGTGGGAGAGTGTTGGCTTTAGACACTGCTGTAATTCGGTTGGGGGTGGGGGACGATGAAAAGGGAGGCGCAGCTACTGGTGTGTGGGAGAGTGTTGGCCTTAGACACTGCTGTAATTCGGTTGGGGGTCGGGGACGATGAAAAGGGAGGTGCAGCTACTGGCAAAATGCTCGGTCATTGGGCCTCGTTCTACACCACTTGAACTCAAGGGTTGACGGAAAAATTCTAGTTCCACCCATCCCTAATGACCGCGCCACAATGTTTTCACTTTCCTGTTCTCAAGTGTGCATACTTGAAACTCAAGTGTTGCTGGGGCAAAATCACAATTGAACTCAAGGTACCTCACGGAGGCACCTTGAGTTCAAGTGCCCAAAGATACCGCCAGCACTCCAAGTGGTGCTTTTTTTTTGTTTTTCTTTTTTTCCAGCAGGCGATGCTGGTCCAGGATTGGTCAAGCCGTGGAGTTCGGTTTCAAGTGCAGCTTGTTGAAGGGTTTCCTCAAGTGCACATGGAACCATAAATGGACTGTGACAGAACCGTCGGGATGGCCTTCCGTCAGGATCAACACGGAGGGTGGAGGAAGGAGGAGATGGAGATGGAGCTGGAAGGGACAGCGCCGCTCCAACGCAGACTCAACACGCATATACTCCAAAGTGTGCAAATGCAGAATGAATCAGAATACAGACTGCAGTTGGGGTATACCCCAGCGGACTGACTGGACTGGACTGGACTGAACTGGTACCGACAGTAGTACCGGACAGGACTGGACTGGACTGAAACAGCACACGGTCTGTGGGGTCAGGCCACGACCTGGTCCAACAGGCCGAACAGGCAAATAGCCGAATAGGCTCTGGCTGTAGGCCAGGGCAGATAAAGGCCCGCTGCACGATCCTCGGACCTGTAGTGGATCGCAGGAGCCATAGACACGCTATCCGCAAAAGCGGCGGAACTCTGCAATAAGGAAAGATGATAAATCTAGGATGCGGAGCAAGCTCCATGTGGGTTCCATGCGATGCAGCCTAAGGTACATAATGTCATAAAGAAAAAGAAATGTTTGATATCCACATCCTAACTAATAGCAGAAAAACAAAATGTAGCATGGTACAATCCTAAAGTCCTGGAGGCAATTGCCTCAGAGCTGAAAGGAAAAGATAGCAATATGTCACAAGGTAATGTCATGTCGCTGTAGCACGAAGAGTGGGATGGTCTCAGAGGGGGTGAATGCAGCCTAAGAATCGAAACTCCTAAGGGCAATCACACACAAAGGTGAAATAGGTCATCGGGCTCAAGGTGAGGGAATGGTATCGAAACAAAACCAATAACCCTAATAGATAGATCATCAAGGTGGGTAATGCTCGACAAAAAGGTGACACCATGCATGGTCGACCATGAAAAGGGGAGTCTGGAATAGGGTGGAGATATGCCTAAGTGATGGCATGCAATAGTCGGCACTAGGGTGATGAGGGCGGTGGGTGAGGGAAATATGCACACAACTCACCGACTGGGGGAGGGAGCTAGATCTGGGAGCAGGAAAGCCAAGATAACGCTACGGTCCCAATGCCTATGCGATACCAAGGGAGAGCCCAACTCAGAGAGACCCAACTAAGTGAGAACCATCATGCGGCACATGCAAGGGAATGTACAGGGTGGGGGTGGTGGCGTGAAGTAGTCACATCCAAAGTAGTTGAAGCCGATAAGGTAGCTGAAATCGTCGGAGTGGTCAATGACATCAATGAAGCAGGAGTCGAGTCGATGTCGAAGCCGAGCCGCAAAACGCCGGCATCCTAAAGAAGCTGATGATGGAGTACTTGAAGGTCTGAGTCAGTAGGAAGATAGTAGGTGATCAGAGTGTCAGTCGTCGAGACGTCGAGAACGTCGACAGGTGCATTGTGGATGCGCAGAGGCGTTCATCTGCTGCTGAAGAACGGCCTCAGAGGGAGCGGGTTTGTCCTCGGCAATCTCCTCAGCCGGAGGAGGAGGAAGAGGGTCAGTTGGTTGAGTAGGAGCAGATGTCTCAGCACGACGAGCACGATCATATGCATGAACCAACATCTAGGCGTACTCCAAGTGTTTGAGGGACTCCCAAGTATCCTTTTCATCAGGATAGCCCTTCCAACGCACAAGGTACTCGATGTGTGGAGGGGTATCGTCGGTAACTCGACAAGATACGACGTCGGAAACGACGAACTCCTCGTGACCGTCCACCATGATAGGTGGATGGCGCTCTCGAACAGTCTGCGATAAGGAGGTAACAAGGAGACGTGGTAAACATCGCGTACGCGATTCTCTCGAAGGTAATTAGGTAGCTTCACACGAAAGTTGACCGCACTAGCGGCAATATGAAAACCGACAAGCTGAAGTATGCGGCATGGACCGAAAAAGCAATACCTGAACTTGCGAAGCGTACCCGCTTCAAGTTGCAACTGGCGTGCATCGACGAGCACATTGTCACCGACTTTGAATGGATGATCCATTCGTGATAGGTTTGCTCGTGCGGTCATGCGGGTCTGGGAGTCGGTTAGACTCTCGTGTGCGCGCTTTATAATCGCCGCCATGTGGGCGATCCAGTCATCAAGCGCAGGGCAACGAGTGTCTGGACGTAACCGCGACAGTCGTAGGAAGTCCGCGGGTACGCGAGGATGGTAGTCGAGGTCGCAATAGAATGGCGACATCCCCGTGGTTAGCGAAACAGCGTGGTTGTACGCAATCTCCATGTGGGCTAAGTGTAAGTCTCACTGCTGGTCACCCCTAATAAACTTTCGAAGGATATTACTGTGAGTTTTATTGGTGACCTCAGTCTGACCATCCGTCCGAGGGTGGTAAGAGGATGAGAAGCGGAGTTGGGATCCGTACACCTCGTGTAGGCGTCGCCGGAATGTACTGGTAAAGCGCGGGTCACGGTCGGAGATGATGCTCTGAGGTAAGCCGTGATCTCTCACGACTCAGTCGAAGACGATGTCAGTAACTTCACGAGCGCTAATGCGATAGCGACACGGGAGAAAACGTGCACCCTTCGTGAAGAGATCAATGACAACGAAGATAACATTATGACCGTGCTCAGTAGGTGGAAGAAGGGGGCTAATGAAATCCATCGAGATGGACTGCCAACGACTCTCATGTATGGGTAGGGGCTGAAGTAACCCATACAGAAGGTGGTTTGCATTGTTCACCTTTTGGCACGTAGGACACTCCTGGATGTAGGCTTTGACGAAGTCTTTAGACTTCTACCAGACGTATAGGCAGCAAACACGAGCCAACGTCTTGTGGAAATGGAATTCTACTACAGCCTGGACACGACGGTGTCCGGTGGAGGGAACGTAGATACGTGCTTCTGGCTAACCAGATTTTTCATGTCAGTACATGAGACCGTTCTCACTGATTGAGTATGAGGGAACAGTCTTGCCACTCCGCAGTGTCGCATGAATGACGCGATAATTTGGGCAGTGGCAGTACTGATTGCAATATGTGTCGATCACCGATTAATCAACAGTGGTGATGAAAATGACAGCAAGATGGATAGGTTACTGATTGTGACCATGACGACGGGACAAGGCATCGGCGACGTGGTTCGTTTCACTCTTGATGGGCTGAGTGGTGAAACTGGACTCGGCCATCAATGTGTCTGTCGAGGGGAAAGCTTGGGCTTCGTGAGGAAAGCCTGGACAACTGAGTTGTCCGTGCGCACCGTGAAGGGCGCCCCGTGCAAATAATGACGCCAATGTCGGGTAACATAAACTACTGCGAGAACCTCATGTTCATTGGCAATGTCGTTTATCTCGGCAGACAATAGCTGACGGGAGTAGAAAGCGATCGGGCAATCCCCAACACGAGTCTCGACAGTCCCATCCTCCACGATGGTCGGGGAGTAAGTAACGGGAGGACTGTCAGTGGAGGAAAGTGGTGGGAGGATAGGCGTCAGTCGAGAAGCAGTGTCAGCAGGAGGTGGGGGGAAAGAAGGAACATGGGGATAAGGTGAATCCGGAGGAGAGGGAAACACTTGAGAGAGTACAACTCCTACTGCAAAATCTGACGCATAGGTAGTGACGATGAAGGGACGATCAAAATTGGGAAGGCGAAGAACTAGCGAACAAGTCACTGCCTTCTTGAGGGCACGAAAGGCGTCCTCGCACATGAGTGTCCAAAACCACGACGGGTTCTATCGGAGGGGGGTGGAGGTAAGGACGTAGGAATACCTAGCGTATCTCTAGATTAAATTACTATAGTAACTCATGAGGCATAGGATACTGCGAAGCTGCTTGGCAGATGTGGGGATGGGTCACTCTGCAATAGGAGTGATCTTCGCATCGTCCATGTGGAGACTCTGGTCAGACACATGGTGTCTTAGGAAGTCTACTTTGCTTTGGGAAAAGCGGTACTTACTAAGCTTGGCATAGAAGTCATGCTTGCGTAAGCATTGTAAAACATCGTGGAGGTGTCTGAGATGGTCTTCTAAGGTACGACTGTAGACCAGGATGTTGTCCATGTATATGAGAACGTATTCTGCATGGATGTCCTCGAAGATATCGTTCACCGCCGTCTTGAAGGCGACGGGTGCATTGGTGAGGCTGAATGACATCACCGTGAACTCGTAGTGGCTGAAGCGCGACCGAAAGACGGTCTTCGGCTGGTCCTCTGTGGCAACGCGGATCTGGTGGTAACCGCTACGAAGATCGATCTTCGTAAAGAAGCGATTGTCTGTCAGACTATCAAACAGTTCATCCGCGTGGGGCATGGGATAGTTGTACTTATTAAGACCGCGGTAGTCAATGCAGAGGCAAAGAGTTCCATCCGCTTTGCGAGCAAAGAGGACGGGTGCACCCCAAGGGGAGTTACTGAGTTTAATGAAACTCAATCGAAGGAGTTCCTCAAGTTGACGCTTGAATTCCATCGCCTCTAGAATCGAGAGTTGGTAGGGTGCCTGATGGTGGACACAATAGTCAGGTACGAGTTTGATAAAATGCTCAACACCGTGCATGGGAGGAATCCAGCTGTATGAGAAATACGGGGGGAAAACATCGTTGTACTCTCGAATCAAATCACGAACGACAGGCTCTAAGTTGGTCGTGAACCACGTGAGTTTCTCGGCACCTGTGTCGGCACGAGACGTATGAGTGAACTCGACAGTCGACGACACAAGGATCTGGGACGTCGAAGGGGTATCCGCAAGCTGACAGGTGGATGTGGAGATGGGAGCCACAAAGATGGAGGAAGGGTCAGCGGGATCAGGCTCCAATGAGATGAGCTCAACCTCGGGACAGAGTGGATCGTATCGAAGAAGATCCATGACGTTCACTGAGTAAAATGTGACGTCCTCCTGTCGTATGAAGTGGACAAACTGATGAGGAGAAGTGAACGCGATGTCTAGGTGAGACACAGAGGAACGAGGGTCCTGGGAAGTAGGTCGGGAGGGGTGTCGCCTGTGGTTCCAATGAAGGGGACTCGATGGGTCTGACCACACTTCGTTTTGAGAACGAGTGTCTTGGTCGCCCATTCGGCCTCTGTGCCACGGAATTGGCGAGACCAGGGAGTGCCAAGGATAAAGTCGCACCCAGTCTCCAGCACGTCGAAGTATGCGGAGGAATGGTAGCGCCGAGGCGCCTAGGTACTATCCGATGGCTGGAGGGTAAGGGAGAAGTGGAGGTCAGAGACCGTCTGATCGAAGAAGCGTTGCGTCTTGTTATCTCTGAGGGTAACGGAGATAGGAGAGCGGGACCCGGACATAGTTAGGTGAGTTTCCTCGACCACACGAGGATGAACGAAGTCCCCCTGTGAGTCGGAGTCTCATAAAGTGCGATACACCCTTATAGATGTCCCCAAGCAAATAGGGATGATGGAGAGGGTGCGATCAGGGTCAGAGAGCATAGCAAGAAGACGACGCATGACGTTTACGTGTCTCGTGAGTTGCTCCTGACGAGCCTAAAGAATGCTCAAATCTAGGAGAGATGACACAACGTCATCCTGAGTCGCCAACTGAGCACTACAACGAGTTGTGCGAATGGCGCGACGCGTCGGAAGTCTCGAAGGAGAAAGACTAAATGCGACGATCTGCGGTAAGGCAGGCGGTACCTCAACAGACGGCGGACAGAGGAAATTGCGTCTGTCGTGTCCAAAGGATCCTCTGGTGAGTAGCCAAGGAGGCAAGTGCGAGGCCTCAACGGTTTACTGCACCGTGCATAGATGGGTGGGGCTGGCCGGGCGGGGCAAGGGGGGGACTGAGAGCGGCGCGGACGAGAGATGTCAGCATAGTGTCGATCGAGGGCGGCATGGTGTGAACACCTGTGAGGAGGTGTGTCCATCCTGGCGGCAACGAAGGCAGTTGCGACAGGCCTTGAGGGCAGCGCGCTCCTCAGGGGATAGAGCTTCGCGAGGAGGGACAAAACCCTGTCGGAGGTCTATCTAAGGAACCGTGAACGTGCGGGTGTCCGCCTGTGCAACTCGAATGCGAGTATGACCCATGGTGTACATAGCCTTCTACAGGCCCTCGGCCACCGGGACAGTGTCATCATCCAAGCGATACTGGATGACATCTCGGAGCTCGATGTCCTCGGGGGTGTCCCCAAGGGTAGGGTCAAGCTCGGTCGAGGCGTCCTCTCCGTACTCCAGAGAACTGTAGCGCCTAGAGAATGGTGCTCCAGGTCGAGCTGGTGGGCGAAAGCGGCCGGTGAAAGAGGATCGACCACAAGTAGCACATCGTGACTGGGTGGCGGCGGTGGTGGATCGTGAAGAAGATGGGGCATCGGAGAAGTGACTCCACATCTTCTGGTACTGTCGAGCAGCCTCGTAGGCCTGCTTTGAGGAGGCGAAGCTATGTCGTCAGAGCTCGATGCGGTAGTCGGTCGGAAGACTAGCTACAAACCTGTTGGTCAAAAGGACCTAAGGTAGGAGTGCCTCATCGCAAATGAGGCGGGCGTCCCAAAACACTTTGATGTGACGCTCAAGATCGGTTAGTGCGGAGGACCCGCGCCACTGCGTCTGGGTAACCCGATCTAAGGCGTCGCCCGCATCTTGGAGAGTGTCGTAGCGGTAATGGAAGAATGTGGTGAAATCCGCGAGTGTAGGAGCCTCACATGAGCGAGTACGATGGGCATAATAGTTCTCCCATGGGGAGAACGCGCTGCCTCGCAATTTAGTTACACGTGCGGAGCACCACAACCCCTGACAAGTGTTGGCCAGTGTCAGCGCAAGTGTGGCAGCCTGCAACCAGTGCGACATGCGCATGGTATCATCGTAGTCGGGTATGTCCGACAGACGCACAAGGGTGGGACTGCTGTGTTGATGGCGAGGGGAGAGAGGTCGATGGGCCTGCACTGCGGCGGCAAATGTCAAGGCCGGTGTAGAGGTAGAAGTGGTAGCAGGCTGAGAGTTGGGGCTGCTGGTGGAAGGTCCAGCAAACATGGAGTCAACGGTCGCAGCCAACTGTGACGGAGTAGCGAGGTAGGAGGGTAGAGGGGGGGGAGCCGATCGAGGGAAACGAGCCGGCAAGACAGAGGTGGGAGGGGCGTTATAAGAGAAAGAGGAGTGAGCATCCTGTGAAGGGTGAGACTGTCTTAGGGAGAGAATCTCCGCTAGGAGCTGCGCCATGGTGGCCTTTAGGGTAGCCACCCGTTGGGTGCGCGGGGTCGGAGGTGGAGGAGGCAGAGAGAGTACCCTAGCGGGAGGAGGAAGAACTCCGGGCCGTAGTGTTATGACCGCTGCAGGAAGTTGGGAAGCAACACGGGGGTGGGTAGATAAAATTGTCTGGCTAGATACTAGTATCTGGGCGACAGCACATGCGGCAGTGGTTCAAGCGACAGGGGGGGCAGGAGCGGCAGGGACCAATGGATGTGCCGCAACAGACGGTATGGTCTGAGCAGCAGCAACACTCACCGCTTCGGAGGGGGAGTGTTGGGCCTGGCCCGCGGAGGATGAAGAACCACCATGTCTCTGTTGCTGGAGTCGTGGAGAGTCGGACTTTGAGCAGATAGGGGACAAAGTCTGAAAGCGATGGGGAGAGCGATGAGGAGAACCCTTGAGGCGGTGAACTTTAAGGGCGAGCGCATTGACTTGCCTCTCCAGGAGTGCAAGCGCATCAAGGCGCGTTTGCAGAGGTGCAAAGAGGGATGCAAGAATAGCAAGAAGGTTCGTGCGGTCCACAGAGTGCTGACCCTGGACCGTCAGTTGGGTGGGTGCCTAAGAGATGGAGGGCGCCGCGATGATCTCCTCAGTTGTAGTCCCGTCCGTGGGTAGTGGACGCATAGGGGTAGACATGGCGGGAGGTGGAGAAAAAGGTGGAGAAGGAGATGGGTTATGGTGTGAAGATAGGGAACCACCGGTGGGAGGGAGGGAACTGTGGGAGCGGAGTGGGTAATCGTGAGTCGACTGACTCTGCAACCAGTGGGTCACGCGTGAGATGGTGGTGCGAATCCGCTCGAAGGGAGAGGAGCCGTTTGGGTCCAAGGTGCCCGGCGGAAGAAAGAGGGAGAGGAGGGGGGTCAGGAGAACCCTAAACCCTAGATAAACCCTAACCGGGGCTTAGGTGGTAAGGGTAGGGTAACCACGACCTAATCAAGAAAAGAAGATAGTAACCATGAAGGGGAGGCGGGGAGAAAATAAAATAAATAGTAAAATTTTGAGATAAATAATAATAATAATAATAATAATAATAATAATAATACAAAAAAAAAAATTAAGCAAAAGGTGAGAAGAAAAATAATATTTATTGTTTTGGAATTTTTGGCAGTATTTTTCTACCCTAGTGGGGTCACAAAGGTGCAAAGAGAGGAAGGAGAGACTGAGAGAAGCACACTAAGTTTTACAATGCCACAAATTATTATTTAAAAATAAATAAATAAATAAATAAATAAATAAGTAGATGAGGAGGTGAAGAAAAATTAAGTGCTGGATTTTTTTAAAATTTCGGCAGCATTTCGTTGGCCCCATGGGGTCGAAATGTGTTGAAAAATACTAAGTATGAAAAAAAACAGAACATTTCGGCAGCACTTCGTTACCCCCATAGGGTCAAAATGTGTGTTGAAAGCAAGAATGACTAAGTCCTGATTAGATTTGAGGGTGCCGCAAAAAAAATTGAATTTTTAAAATAAATAAAACATAAATTATAATAAATCAAAAAATGAGAAAAGAAGGTGAGGAATAAGATAATTCGAATTATTAGAAAGAAAAAGGAGATTTAAATCAAAGAAAAAAACAAAAGAAGAAAAACAGAAAAATTTGAAGTTGGGGGGAAGGGGGGATAAAAGAGTGATAAAGAAAGAGAGAAATAGGTGAGAGAGAGAGAAAGAGTGAAGTGGGAGATGGGGAAGATGATGGGGTTGTAGTTGGGGGGGGAAGAGGGAGAGGAGGGTGGTAGAATGAGGAAGAAGGATATGAAAAATGTGGAGAGGAGTACATAAGATTAGTAGAAGATGGTGAGTGGGAAGGGGAGGAGAGAAAAGAGGTTGTGGAAGATGAGTGAAGAGGGAGGTAGGAGGAGGGGTTAGAAAGGATGATTGGATGATGGGGGGGGACGAGAAAAGGGGTTGGGGGAGAGTAGGTCAGTGGGTAGAATAGTGATACCAAACTCTTGGGTGGCCAAGAACAGAGCACTACCAAGATCCACAGGATTTTGACCTTCAAGAGATTGTTGGTATGATGTTACTGCAACAAAAACAAATCTGGGGTAGGTTGAGATTTTGATCAACCACCTCGATGTCACTGTAGTGCAGCCCCCTAGCCAGGAAAGTCTTCAAGATCCACAGCAAGGTGCCATGTGGCACTGCAGATAGGCACCAGATACCAGCTACGTGCGCAAGCGGTAACACCCACGACCAACCAAGGGCGGGGGGGACAAATAGTTGTCTCGCCGCACGCTGCTCGCCGCTCGCCAACAAGGGGGGGGGGTAAATAGTTGTCGTTGCACTTCTTCAACATTAGCGAGCCACGGTATCAACTTGGACTGTGGCTTTGGCTAGTATGTTTAAGATAGTGGCCACACACGCTCATGAGTGGCAGTTGCCCAGTTTCAAACCGTGGCAGCAACAGCATCCCAAATTTTGAAGATATATAATCCGGGGGCGGGGCAGGGCAGCAGGGCAGCGGGGCGGCGGGGCGGCGTGGGCACATGGTGCGGGCGCGTGTGGGGTGGCCTTAGCCTCGGCGCTTGCACGCACACGTAATCATGGCGGCAGTCTCCTTTTTCACCACGTGTCCGCCTCTCCACGTTGCTGCTTTTCTTCGTTGTTTTTCGTCGTTTCCGCCCTGAAAAACCCTGAAAATCCCGCTATCAGGATTACAACAATTTTCCTCTGTTACGGGTGGGAGGGCGGGTTGGAGCGGGGACTGTTCCCGCTCTGATACCAGTGTGACGGAACGGCCGGGATGGCGGTCCGTCAGGGTCAACATGGAGGGTTGAGGAAGGAGGAGATGGAGATGGAGCTGGAAGGGACAGCGCAACTCCTACGCAGACTGAACACGCACGTACTCCAAAGTGTGCAAATGCAGAATGAATCAGGATACAGACTGCAGACGGGGTATACCCCAACGGGCTAACTGGACTGGATTGGACTGGACTGAAACAG